GAGTAAGCTCAGAATTTTATATACATGTTTCACTCTACTATGTCAACATTTTGGGGTTTTGAGATTTAAGGGAAACTGTCATTGATATTGGTGAAATTTCTATTTGGTTTACAACAGTCCATACATTATATGTATGTTCCCTATATTTTCATTTCAAAAATGTTTCAGTATTTCTATTGTGGAGGGTATCCAAAGTTCGGACCGGCCGAACTTAACGCTTTTTCACTTGTTATAACCTTTAAAATGATACCCATACCATACCCGAACTTCCGGGTCAAATAACCGGGTACGTCCCCCAAGAAAAAAATATATCCCCATAATTAGGGTAGAAATACCTAATTCTGGAAAAAATTTCAGAAAAATCTGATCGTTTTTACTAAACTAGAGTTAAACCAAAAATCCACACCTTAATTGGTCCCCAAAAATAATTATTTAAAAATCCACGATTTTGGTGGCCGAAAAAATATTTATTTTTAGGCCTTGAAAAAATTCCTTGTAATCCTGTGTCGCCTAACCTTGTTTTTCTTCATGCATTCATTTAACCACCTCACTATACCCTTACAGGTGTTTGTTTTTGTTTTCATATTTATTTTTACTGGGAAGTTGAATGAAGGGGGGATTTCTTTTACAGCAGATAATCAAAGTTCAAGTACATGGATACACATTTACATAAATACACACACATCTACTTACCTTTTGGTTTTAATTTGCGGGAGTGAGTCTACTATTTTTTTGATTTTGATTGATTAGTTTATTTTGTTGTTATTGTTACTTTCTTCACCAAACAGCTGTTTATTGGGTATTTCTTTTATTTCTTATTTTTGTCTTCTTCTTCTTGTATTACAACGCGCCACTTTTCTGTTGTATGACGTTCATCAATAGAGGGGAGAGAGTACTTCAATGACAAATCACAAATCACCACGTTATTTTATGCAAAACGAAACATGAACTACACACACTGTTTCTATTTTCAATTGAATTTACTTGTTCTTGTTTGCCAATTTCCAATTAGAATTTATTAACACAACACAAATTAAAATTTAATCCAATCCAAATGAGTTCTGAATGGTCACTGCTGCTGCTATTGCTAAGAATGGCAATAAAAAGTGGAAGTGAACAAAGTAACGCAAAAAAGACTAACAACAACAAACACACACACACACACTCTCAGGTTGCATGCATGGCATGCAAACCAAGGAAGTAATGTTCTCTCCATAGCATGCTCTCTTCAGCTCAACGGCTCTTTTCATTGTAATGCTGCTGTTACAATGAATGGGGAGTAAAATTTATTTCCCCACACAACACTGTGGGGGAAATAAAATGTAAACATAGGGATGCCATGTGGGGAATTTTTAAATAATTTTTAAGGAACTAAAATAAGGTGGGGATTTTTTAATGATTTTTTTTCGGGGACCTATGTAAGGTCTGGGATTTTTTTAAGGTCGAGGATTTTTTAATTAATTTTTTTCGGGGGCCTACATAAGGCGTAGAGTTTTTAAATAAATTTTTTCGGGGACCTATATAAGGAGTGCCGTATGGGATGATAGATACCAAGAAACGGCTCTGATTGGCTTTAACATGGCGAAGTCCAGGCTTATCTTGGCCCCCCTTTCATCTCAATTGTGGACACTGACCTCCCTGTGGTGCCACCTGGGGAGCTATTTTTATCACCCGATGAATTAGTGAGCTAATATAAGAACTATAAAAATGGGTTGAGGCGTCGGGTTAGTTGCCCACACTCGGAAAACCCAACCTACTATGAAAAAGCAAAGAAAAGGAAAACCAAACCCCCCTAATGTTGACGACCCCCGCAAACGTATAAAGGACTCAAGAAGTACAAAGCCGATATTATTGCCTTACAGGAAATGCGATGGAATGATGGACTGGCGTAAGTAAATCAGATGATTACGCCCTGTATTATAGCTGCCATGAAACGAGACATGAATTTGGCTGCGGATTTATCGTTAACAGGAGAATAAAAGACCTCGTCTCCAGATTCACTCCAGTAGATGAGCGAATTGCTATAATCCGTATAAAAGCGAAGATGATCAGATGATTACGTTCTGTATTATATCTGCCATGAAACGAGACATCAATTTGGCTGCGGATTTATGGTAAACAGAACAATAAAAGACCTCGCCTCCAGATTCACTCCAGTAAATGAGCGAATAGCTATAATCCGTATAAAAGCGAAGTTCTTCTACATCAGTCTCATCTGCGCCCATGATCCGACCGAAGATAAAGATGAACAGACCAAAGACACATTTTCGAACGCCTAAAAACAGCATATGACCGTTGCCCCGGCCATGACATTAAAATTCTGATAGGAGATTTTAACGCAAAAATCGGAAGAGAAAATAACTTTGGCCCCACCGTCGGAAAATTCAGCCTCCATAAAGAAACATCAGACAACGGCGGCATGAGGTTGATTGACTTCGCGGCAGCAAAAAGACATGGTAGTTAGCAGCACCAGATTCAAGCATCTCGATATACACAAGGCCACTTGGATTTCTCCCGATCGAACAACGAGAAATCAAATCGATCATGTTGTGATAGACGGAAGGCATTCATCCAGTGTTTTAGACGTCCGATCGATACGAGGAGCGAATATCGATTTGGAACCATTACCTTGTGGCTGCCAAGGTACGCACCCGTCTTAATGTAGCAGCAAAGGTGTGATCTAACACAACACGGAAACTCGACGTCGAAAACCTGCAAACACAACAGGTAGCCGAGGCCTACTCCGCTCAACTAACCCACGTGCTTGACGAAAGCACCCCTTGTCCCGATAATAATATAGAAGCACAATGGCAGAGAATTGCCCACTCCCTACAAACTGCAGCAAAAGCAACACTTGGGTACCAAAGACCACCATCAAGAAATCCGTGTTACGATCAGGAGTGTCGTAATGCTACTGATATGAAAAACGCAGCGTATAGGGCAACCCTGCAGACCAGTAGCAACACGTAATGTGATGGAGAATTATGGGGAGAAAAGGAGAGAAGAGAAAGGTATTTTCAGAAAAAAGAAGAAAGAACAAGAAAAACGTGAGCGTAAGCAAATCGAGATTTACAGGAATCAGAATGAAGTCGGAAAATTCTACCAACGGGTAAAACACCAAACCGAAGGATTTGGTGCAGGCACATCCTCCTGTAGAGATAAAGAAGGAAACCTGGTGACAGATACAGACAGCGTGCTGAGAATCTGGAAGGAGCATTTTGAAAAACTTCTGGTATCAAATAGTAGCCGTGAAGAGGATACCCCAGAACCAATAATAGATGACGGTATAGAAGGTATACCACTTACCCAAGATGAAGTCAGAATATCAAACAATCGGCTGAAGACTAATAAAGCAGCAGGTGCCGATGGGTTACAAGCCGAACTATTCAAGACTGGTGGTCAGATGCTGGTAAGGACATGCACCCGCTGATTAGTACAATTTGGCTAGATGAGTGCATGATCAATGATTGGAACCTCAGCACCCTGTGTCCCGTGAACAAAAAAGGAGACAAGACGATATGTGCCAACTATAGAGAAATAAGTCTCCTTCCCATCGCATATAAAGTGCTATCCAGTGTACTGTGTGAAGCCAATGGTCAATGACATTATTGGACCATACCAATGCGGCTTCAGACCTGGCAAATCCATCATTGACCAGATTTTCACTCTGCGCCAAATCCTGGGAAAAAAACCCACGAAAAACACATCGACAATATCCATCTATTCGTCGACTATAAAGCCGCATTCGACAGCCCTACCCGTTCAGAGGTGTATAAAGCCATGTCGGCGTTTGACATTCCTGCAAAAGTAATTCGGCTCTGCAGGATAACTTTAACGGGCACAAGATCAGCAGTTAAAGTCGGAAAGGACCTCTCGGAGCCCTTAAAATCCGAATGAGGATTCAGACAAGGTGATAGTTTGTCGTGTGACCTTTTTAACATCCTGTTGGAAAAGGTCATACGAGAGGCAAAAGTGAACAGAAATGACACTCTGTACACCAAACAACTCGCCTACGCCGATGACATCGATATAATGGGTCGAACATTGCGAGCGGTAACAGCCACCTTTGAACAAATTGAGAAGGAGTCTGCCAAAGTGGGTCTGGCATTAAACTGCGAGAAGGTCAAGCTGATGGTATTAACGCGCAAGACTACTGGACTCGGACAAACTGTGGAACTTGAGATCTACAGCTTCGAGGTAGTCAAAGGATTTTATATACCTTGGTACCGCCATAAACAAAACGAATGACATCAGTTTTGAAATTCGGAGAAGGATTGTGATGGCCAACCGATGCTACTATGGTCTGAGTAAGCACCTTCCGCCAGACCAAACTCACACTTTACAAGACGCTGATACTACCCGTGCTGTTATACGGATCTGAAGCATGGGTACTTACGCAAGCAGATGAGGCAGCTCTTGGAGTGTTTGAGAGAAAATTTCTTTGAAAGATTTGTGGGCCGATCTGCGTTGACGGTGAATATCGCCGTCGAATCAACCATAAGTTGTACCAGCTATTCTCGGACATCGACATTGTTAGACATATTGAGCTGCAGCGACTACGTTGGCTAGGTCATGTTGTGAGAATGGATAAAGATGCCCCAGCCCAGAAGGCATATAAAAGCGAACCAGCTGATGATGGTTCACGCAGAAGGGGAAGGCCAAGAATAGGTTGGAAAGATCAAGTCGAAGACAAAATCGCCAAAAATGGTTTTTCAAATTGGAAAAACTGCACAAAAGAACGACGCGCCTGGAAATTTTTTTTTTAAGCTCGGCTTATGGAACGAAAGTTCTGTCACAAGCCAGCTAAGTAAGTAAGTATATAAGGCGTGGATTTGTTAAATAATTTTTTTCGAGGACCTATATAAGGATGGGGATTTTTGAAATAATTTTTTCGGGGACCTATGTGATCGGGAATTTTTTAAATAAGTTTTTTTCGGGGCCCATGTGGATTTTCGATCAGTAAATCACAACCATTCAGATATTATTTTTCTCTTCATCCTTTATTTATAACCATACTCCTGATACTGCTCATAATCATTTTCATATTTCTCAAATATCTGAATCCACTGTTCGCCAAACGATCGTTGCGACGATTTCAAAGTTCCACCATAGCATTCGGGCAAACATTCCGTTGATATGTAACGATGTAATGCTGGAATATCCGTACCATGAAAATGCACAATATCGTACATATTCGGATTGATAAATGGTTTTGTAATCGCATACACGATATCGAATATTTTCGGATTATTTATAATATGATAGCCCCGCAAACGTACACCCATGCCATCCTGAAGATATTGAATTATACGAATGGCAATCGCGGGTGTAAACAATAGGACCTGGGACAGCGTTAGACCCTCAACATCGAGAAGTATGACAATGCCGTTAATTTGAGTTTCCTGTTCGCAACGGAAGTATTCCATCTGAAGGATAAAGGCTTGCACCAAATTTTCTTTGTTGAATTTTTCCTGAAGCCAATATTCTGTTTTCGAAAAAAGAGAGGAGAATGTCAGAGAGTTTTTGTAGGATGCTAGAATTGAGACCGGGACCTACTCCCCTGCAAAATTATGTACAGACGCCGTCCGAACTGATCTCGCTTTGGATACATGGAACCATTGTTGCCGCACAGCGACTCCCTAATGGTGGACAATTTTAAATCCTTACACATATCCGGAAATTTACGGCGATAATTATAATATTTTTTTATCTGAAAATCGAGAAGAAAAATTAAATTAAAGCATTTTGATTGAAGTTTAAATACCTTTTCCAAGGCTGCTTCGGGCTCAAAACGTGCCAGTCTCAGGAAACTCATTAGCCACAAATCATTATCCAAGGGGCAGCGGAGATTGGTTTCAGCTGTAAGAAAATAATTTTTGTATTAAAAAAATATTTAAAAAATCCCCGATACATAATTTTTCTGTGAAAATTAATTCAATTTGCCGAATTGAAAAGAAGCTGGAGGATGGGAATTATGAAGGTTGGCGTATCCAGATGAGAAGTGTTCGAAGTGGCGTTGTATAAAAAGCTGCTGGGATTAAAAATGAAAGAAAATGGCAACATGTCACAACATCTGAATGAATTTGTTAAAATTTCAGAAAAATTGGCTGAAATTGGGATACCGATCCAGGAGGAGTTGTTAAGTATCATTCTTCTGACAAGCCTTCCAAGACAGAAATGCTTAGAGTACGTAGGTACCTACCTTGCGGTCTTTTTATCTTTTATGAGGTACCAGTCGATTACACGTATTTGGGCGCGATCGCATCCTTTTATGGGTCAGGCACCCAGTTGTAATGCAACTCCACACCGAGCCACAGCTCTACCCGCGATTTGGATATAAACCACCTCCAGAGCGATGCTCCCCGAAGATCCAACACCAACTGACAGGCTAGAACCGCAGACCTAGGGGCCCTGACACCCGTGCTACCAAAACCTTCGGTCAGGTTTATAACCGAACCTATTACCAGTAGAACCGCAAACAGTTCGAGACTGGTCACTCACAGACTATAGTCTCTGTCCTGCTTCATATCCAAAGCTACTACCATTAGGACTAACATGCAGGCTCTCTACAATGAAACAATCGCTGAAAGGGAATACAAAGCAATCTCACGATATTGATAGCCAACATGCATAGCACCCCTCCCAACAATTTCTCCACAAGCCTGCTAGTCCGGGAATGGCCCCCACAGACTAACCTCTGCACGTTTCCGTAACCGAAACTACTACCATTTGAACTAATAACTGCAGGCTCTTCACAATGGAATGACCATTAAGAGAGGATGAAAACAGATGCAAAAACCAACACCTCTCGATTCCCACACCGTCTCCATCATCGCCCAACAATCATTCCACAAATAAATTCCAAGGTAAGGGATGCGGAAAGGAACAATTCAAAGGGAAAGAAAGTACGAGTGCGGCAAAGCAAATTCTGGAAGTCATACACAGTGATGTTTGTGGTCCGATCGGATGTCCATCATCACTTGGAGGTTCTAAATATTTCTTAACTTTCATAGATGATAAATCTCGGAGAATTTTCATATATTTTTTGAAGTCAAAGGATGAAGTTTTTGGAAAATTTCAAGAATTTCGAATGCAAGTTGAGAGACAAACCTTCTTGCCGGTTTGTCTCTCAACTCAAGGTACTTCGTAGTGACAACGGTGGTGGAAGTTTAACGAGTATCTAAAGAACAATGGTATTCAAAGACAGTTAACCGTCCTTTATAGTCCTCAGAAAAACGGAGTGGCAGAACGTGCCAATAGAACTCTAGTCGAAATAGCGAGAACTATGATGTTGCATGCAGATGTGGATGACAATTTATGGGCAGAAGCAATAATGACTGCAGCTTATTTGCGAAACAGATGTCCCACAAAAAAATCTTAAAGATAAGACGCCCTATGAAGTATGGCATGGAAAGAAACCTAATGTAAGTCATTTCCGAACATTTGGTTCTTATTGTGTAGCTCTGAATAAAACTCATAAGCAAAAGTTCGAAAAGAGGAGAGAAGAAGACATTATGGTGGGTTATTCCTTAGTCTTAAAAGCCTATAGACTATATGATGCAAAACAAAGAAAGACGATTGAAAGAAGAGATGTTATTTTCGACGAAGAATCATTTCAAGTAGACGACAAGGAAATGCCAGTGGTAGATTGTTTTAAATTTTATTTGAAGAAAAAATCAAACTGGTCCAAATTTAAATAGCTATGGCAGTCAACAGGAAAACGTCGATCGGCAGTTGCAAGATATTTTAGAATACGAGAGTAACTATGAACATTTTGGTACAGCGACGGAAAATTCGACAATCCGACGATCAAGAAGAGGTATCACGAAAGGGACCTGGAAGACCAAGGATAATGCGAACAGGAATGCCCGGAAGACTCAAAAAGGGTAGTAAAAACGTAAAGAAATGGCAAAATGCAATGGAAATGGACGCCTCCGAACCATAGTATGCTAAGTAGACTTAGCATGTTTTAAAGTTCTTTACGTTTTTAGATACTACGGTCCTTAATTTAAATTCACTAAAATTTTGGAAATCCGATGATTCCCAAACCAAAGTTATAAGCAAAAATGTACTTAGCATGGCACGTACGATTAAAGAAACTGCCATACTTTGAAAGCTTCTACTGAAAAACTCACTTTTCAGACTTAGCATACTATGGTTCGGAGGCGTCGATATATCTTAATTCTTTAAAACAAACAAGACTTGCGTAGAGGTCGAACATCCCCCGGAAGTGGAAATCAATTTCCTGTAAATGAGTGTTTGCACTGAAACGAAAAAAGCATGGGAAGGTGGAAAGGTATAAGGCTCGTTTGGTAGCGAAGGGATGTAGCCAAAGATATGGGATCGACTACAACTAGAGACATTCTCTCCAGTGGTAAGATATGCTACTTTAAGAATGCTATTGGCTATTTCAGTTCAAGAAGAAATGTACTTGCACCAAGTTGACGTAACGACGGCTTACCTTAATAGCGAATTGCATGAAGACGTGTGCATGGTACCCCCCAAAGGTTAAGAAGGTAAATTTTTGAAAAGGGCAATTTATCGATTAAAACAATCAGGGCGAACATGGAATGAAAAATTAGATACAGTTTTGAATAATTTTGGATTTAAATCATGCGAAAATGAGCCATGTTTGTAGCAGAAGAATTCGATATCAGCGAAGAATATTCTACATTATCTGGCGAGAACTGCGAATTATAAGTTGATATATAAAACTGGCCAGAAAAGTGTATATGGATATGTGGATGCTGATTGGGGGAAATCATATACAGATTGATAGAAAATCATATACAGAATGTATATATATTTTGTCTCAATGATTGTCCTATATCCTGGGAGAAATAAGAGACAAAGCAGACACAGAAGTTTAACGAGCAAATGTCCATGGAAAAGGTTTATAAAGTCAGTTCATTGAAAGTAGGAGATTTCGTAGTAATAAAGAATGTAGACGCAACAATAGGAGTTAACAAAAATCTTCCGCCAAAATTTAAGGTTCCTTATGTCATAAACAAGGTGCTGCCAAATGATAGATGCGTAGTCAAAGACATCGAAAAATGTCAGATCACCCAAATGTCTTATGATGGAGTGATCGAAGCTTGTAACATAAGATTGTGGAAGACGGATGAACCGGATGAAAGGACCCAGAGCTGCTCTGACCCACAGTGTACATAGCGTATATATTTTAGCATAAGTCAAATGACATGTACGTAGTCAAAGACATCGAAAATTGTCAGATCACCCAAATTCCTTGTGATGGAATGATCGAAGCTTGTAACATAAAATTGTGGAAGACGGATGAAAGGACCCAGAGCTGCTTTGACCCACAGTGTACATAGCGTATATATTTTAGCATAAGTAGTTTAAGTATTTTGCATACTCATATCAAATATATTAATTTCTAGTATAAGTAATTTAATCTACTCCAACATGATAGATTTATATATTGTGTGTGTTTGACCTAAGTAGGCTTTGAAATGAAATATTGTGAAATTTTCAAGCTATGTAAATAATAACTGTAAACTAGTTCACTGTGAATACCAAAATACATTAGATCATTGAAATACAACTATGTAAAAATACTAGATTTATATAATGGAAGATGAATAAAAAACCCCGGCCTTATATTGGCCTCGAAAAAAAATTAATTAAAAAATCCTCGACCTTATATAGGTTTCGAAAAAAAAGTATTTAAAAAATCCCTACCTTTCAGCAATGTACGTAATCCTTTAATTCCTTTTTCAACATTTTCTGGCGTTTCATTTAGCTCTTCTTTGGCCACCTTTTTGGCTTGTTCCGATGGCTCATTGTAATCCAATTTGAAAAGAAATCCATCGTATTGAAATTGTGGTCCATTATTTGGTATTTTATACATTTTTTTAATTTATTAATTTTTTTTAATATTTATTTTCCTGTTACAAAAATTCAGGACTTCATTTGAGTTATTGATTTTATATTTTTTTGTTTATTACCTAAGCCCGAAATACGTGGCGCCTCTTTCGACTTTTAATACCGATTAATTTCTATATAGTTTTTAAAAATCTTTCTTATACTTTTCCCATTGTCAGAATGATTTATAATTTTCATTTGGAATGAATTCTGTTTCAATTAGTATTTGAATTTACTTAATAAATATGTATTATGAAAATTATTGTTTAAGTATATGCAAAAGCAAGGGAACGGGAGTTTTTCTGTGAATAGGGTTTCCAAACTCGTGAAAAAATGGGACACACTAGGTCAAAAAAATATTATTAGAAAAAATCCCCTTTGAGAAAGAAAGCAGGCATGATCCTGAAGCTTCCAAAGCTTCATACTGTTGCTTCAACAAACATCCTTCAGTTCTTACAGTTCTTTTCTCTACATAGAGTAAAATAAATGTAGAATATTCAGACAGCCCCAGCTCTTCTGTATAAGAAATAATAAGACACGGTGCTATCGACCGTTCTCATTTTTTTGTAAATTATTTATCCTTAGGTTCCATTTAAACTACTCTTGCTTAGCCTAATCTCAAACACAAAATACTTGTCAGTAAACATACTTACTTACTTAGCTGGCCTGTGACAGAACTTTCGTTCCATAAGCCGAGCTTAGAAAAGATTTCCAGGCGCGTCGGTCTTTTACGCAGTTTTTCCAATTTGAAATACCATTTTCGGCGTTGTAGTCTTCGACTCTATCTTTCCAACGTATTCTTGGCCTTCCCCTTCTGCGTAAACTACCAGCTGTTTCGCTTTTATATGCCTTCTGGGCTGGGGCATCTTCATCCATTCTTACAACATGACCTAGCCAACGTAGTCGCTGCAATGTCGGAGAATAGCTGGTACAACTCATGGTGCATTCGACGGCGATATTCACCGACAACGCAGATAGGCCCACATATCTTTCGGATAATTTTTCTTTTAAACACCCCAAGAGCTGCCTCATCTGCTGGCGCAAGTACCCATGTACTTCAGATCCCTATAACTGCATGGGTAGTATCAGCGTCTTGTAAAGTGTGAGTTTGGTCTGGCGGGAGGTGGGCTTGTTTCTAAACTGCTTACTTAGATCATAGTAGCAGTTGTTGGCCATCACAATCCTTCTCCGAATTTCAAAACTGATGTCATACGTTTTATTTATGGCGGTAACAAGGTATATCAAATCTTTAACTACCACGAAGCTGTAGTTATCAAGTTCCACAGTTGGTCTCAGTCTACTGGACGAATTGCGCGTTGATACCATCAGCTTAGTCTTCTCGCCGTTTAATGCCAGATCCACTTTGGCAGACTTCTTCTCAATTTGTTCAAAGATGGCTGTTACCGCTCGCAATTTTCTACTCATTGTATCGATGTCATCGACGTAGGCGAGTAACATGTTTTGTTTGGTGTACAGTGTGCCATATCTGTTCACCTTTACGTCTCGCATGACATTTTCCCACAGGATGTTAAACAGGTCACACCACAAACTGTCACCTTGTCTGAATCCTCGTTCGGTATTAAAAGGGCTCCGAGAGGTCCTTTCCGACTTTAACTGCTGATCTTGTGCCTGTTAAAGTTATCCTGCATAGGCGAATTAATTTTGCAGGAATACCAAACGCAGACATGGCTTTATACACCTCTTAACGGATAGGGCTGCCGAATGCGGCTTTATAGTCAACAAATAGACTGAATGTGTCGATGTGTTTTTCGTGGGGTTTTTTACAGGATTTGGCGCAGAGTGAAAATCTGGTCAATGGTGGATTTGCCAGGTCTGAAGCCACATTGGTAAGGTCCAATAATCTCGTTGACCATTGGCTTCAGTCGTTCACACAGCACACTGGATAGCACTTTATATGGGATGGAAAGGATACTTATTCCTCTATAGTTGGCACATATCATCTTGTCTCGTTTTTTGTGCACGGAACACAGGATCCTGAGGTTTCAATCATTGGACATGCATTCCTCTAGCCAAATTGTACTAATCATCTGGTGCATGCTCCTTACCAGCATCTGACCATCAGTCTTGAATAGTTCGGCTTGTAACTGCTTTATTATTCTTCAGTCGATTGATTGCTATTCTGACTTCATCTTGTCTGGGTGGTATACACTCTATACCATCATCTATTATTGGTTCTGGGGTATCCTTTTCACGGCAACTATTTGATACCAGAAGTTTTTCAAAATGCTCCTTCCAGATCCTCAGCACGCTGTCTGTATCTGTCACCAGGTTTCCTTCTTCAGCTCTACAGGAGGATGTGCCTGAACCAAAACTTTCGGTTTAATGTTTTACCCGTTGGTAGAATTTTCGAACTTCATTCTGACTCCTGTACATCTCGATTTGCTCACGTTTTCTTGCTCTTTCTTCTTTTTTCTGAAAATACGTTTCTCCTCTCTCCTTTTCTCCCGATAGTTCTCCATCACATTACGTGTTCCTACTGTCTTTAGCGTTGCCCTATATGCTGCGTTTTTCATATCAGTAGCATTACGACACTCCTGATCGTACCACGGATTTCTTGATGATGGGCTTTGGTACCCAAGTGTTGCTTTTGCTGCAGTTTATAGGGAGTGCCATTGTGCTTCTATATTATTATCAGGACAAGGGGTGCTTTCGTCAAGCAGTTGGGTAAGTTGAGCAGAGTAGGCTTCTGCTACCTGTTGTGTTTGCAGCTTTTCGACGTCGAGTTTCCGTGTTACATAAAATCACACCTTTGCTGCTACATTAAGACGGGTGCATAGCTTGGCTGTGACAAGGTAATGGTCCGAATCGATATTCGTTCCCCGGATCGATCGGACGTCTAAAACACTGGATGAATGCCTTCCGTCTATCATAACATGATCGATTTGATTTCTCGTTGTTCGATCGGGAGAAATCCAAGTGGCCTTGAGTATATCGAAATGCTTGAATCTGGTGCTGCTAACCGCCATGTTTTTTGCTGCTGCGAAGTCAATCAACCTCATGCCGCGTTGTCTGATGTTTCTTCATGGAGGCTGAATTTACCGACTGTGGGGTTATTTTCACTTCCGATTTTTGCATTAAAATCTCCTAGGAGAATTTTAATGTCATGCCTAGGGCAACGATCATATGCCGTTTCTAGGCGCTTGTAAAATATGTCTTTGGTCTGTTTATCTTTATCTTCGGTCGGAGCATGGGCGCAGATGAGACTGATGTAGAAGAACTTCGCTTTTATACGAATTATAGCAATTCGCTCCGTCTACTGGAGTGAATCTGGAGACGAGGTCTTTTATTCTCCTGTGAACCATAAATCCGCAGCGAAATTCATGTTTCGTTGCATGGCAGCTATAATACAAGGCGGCGTAATCATCTGATTTCAACGTATATATATGTATATATATATATGGGCAGTATTGCCAATTTTTTAACATAGCTGAAGCGGAGCTTCAACCCTTTATAACTCGAGAACTACTTAAGTATATGAAAAAAAGTGAATAGTTTTGGGTTAATTGATCTGTCGTTGCAAACTGCTCATGATATTGACCTCCAAACTTTATTTTGGTGGAAGCTGTGTCTACTTTAATGTAAAAAAATGTGTAAAAACAGGTTGAGGCGAACCAATTTTTTTATGTTCTCTATCGATTTGTGACTAAGCCACTCATTGCACGGTCTTCGTGTCAAAATAAAACTAGAAGCAAACAAAATGGGGACTACGCTCCTTATGTATCATTTTTCAAAATTTTAACTGCATCTAGCTTTAAATGATGCTGACATTTTGAAGCTCGATTTTGAGTGTTTTTTCAATTTTACTTCTAGCTTTAATACGCAAACAGGAATTTATAAAAATCGGTTATAGGATTATTGTAGTCGCGAATCTGCGTAATTTGATATGTATTTTGTGTATGTAGTATGTACAGCTTTAGAGTAATACTCATCCGAAGGTGCGAATTTTGTGCGATCAAATTTCTAAAAAACCTATTTTTCGGGCCAAATTTTTAGATCTGTCAACTGAATGATATGGGTACCCGCGATCAATAAGGTTTTTTACGTTTCGGATGATATAAAATCTTCTTCGTGAAAATCCATCTACTAGAACGGCGGTAACTGGCCTTCCAAAAACACGAAATTTGGCAAAAAATATTTTTGAAAATATCGCGGATTTAATTGCGTTTTCTGTGGATCATTTCCGCTTCTATAAATGACCTCATACGGATTTTTATCTTTTTCGAAAAGAGAACTTTAAAAACTTCAGCCGAAAGAGAGATGTACCCAATTTATCTCAAAAATAGTGTGAGCTGGCACATCCATGGTTCTTATTGGACCACATTGAAATCGGTATAGATTGATGTATTTTTTTAGGGTGCACATCGAAATCGGATGCGCGTTAATGACATATGGAGTTTTCGGAAATTATTCGCATTTTACGATTTTTTGGGTACTTCAATGTAACGTGTGGCACATCTTAGCCGTCAAATGAAATTTCGCAAAATATATATGGATTGGAAGATAAACTTCAGTACTTACTGGAAACCACATGCGCATCAAATGATTTTGAGAATTACGCGATTTAGACGTAATATATCTCAAAAATAGTGTGAGCTGGCACATCCATGGTTCTTAATGGACCACATTGAAATCGGTATAGATCGATGTATTTTTTTAGGGTGCACACCGAAATCGGATGCGCGTTAATGGCATATGGAGTTTTCGGAAATTATTCGCGTTTTACGATTTTTTGGGTACTTCAATGTAACGTGCGGCACATCTTAGCCGTCAAATGAAATTTCGCAAAATATATATGGATTGGAAGATAAACTTCAGTACTTCCCGGAAACCGCATGCGCATTAAATGATTCTGAGAATTACGCGATTTACACGCAATTTAAAATGTATATTTCATAATATTATTTTATTCTAAGATTAATTCCTATTTACATATGTATATAATTCTAAGATTTATCGGAAGGGTCT